TCCCTTCCCTTTTACCGCGAGGGCAATGAGAGTTATCGGCGTGTTACTTCTCTCTGTTTCTCCCGTTCCGCCCCGTGAAACGCTTCTCAACGAGCCAAAGCAGCATGTATAAGACACACCGGTCGAGCCAATGCTTTTATTTCCTTTTATTTCCCTTAGCTGCTCCCCGCGCGCGCATTTTTTACAGCTGCTCTTTCCCTCTGTTTCGCGTGTCCTTTTCTACTGTTTTATTATGATTTCTCTTGATAGATTATTACGTTCCGCTCTTAGCGCGTTTTGCGTAATATGGCGAGATGGAAGGAGGAGGACTCTGCGGAGGGAAAAAAGTTTTAATGCAGTACGACGGGTCGGGACTTTCCCCGTGACTGGACCCACTTTGGCCAACGGAGCTGCCGTGCTGGCCTCGGACAGTTTCCCCTTGCCCCTCCCAGCCAGCCCCCCCCCCTCCCCCGCTCTCGTCTTCCCTTTGGCCCTCCGGGGGCAGAAGCGCCCTCCCCGGAGCTGTTTGAACCACTCTCAGTGGGGCCTTCTCGCTTGATTTGGAGCTCAAATGGAACGAGAGAGGGAGAGAGGAGTGAGTGGAGAGGCGCTCTATCCTCCTGGGAGAAGGAGAGCAAAGTCGCGAGGAGTATCGAGTCGGCAGGGCTACTGCCCCCACTTACTGAGGTGGTGTCCACTTACCCGCTAAAGTGTGTGTGTGTGTCCGTGTGTGCGTGCAAGAGAGACTTGCCCGCTCGTCGTTGCATGTTTTATCCCCTTTTCGCCCTCTTTTCCTCGTTCTTTTTTTTAGCGAAATCGGCGATCCCTTTCTGGCCGCGTGGGGGAGATGCTTTGCTCGACTTGTCCAAAGTCGTGAATATTTAAAAACCCGATCCGGACGCGACCCGACTTTGCAAACCGCAAGGAGCAGAGCGAGGGTTGCGCGGGGCGGCAGGGGCAGCAGAGTGGACCGTGGCTACTGAAGTGAGACATCAGGACGGCGAGTGGGCAGAAGCGGTGGCCCCCAGGGGCAAGCGGGGACTTTTCCTCGCTAAAAGCAGAGTGTAGCCAGCGAGCAGGGAAAGAGCATCGGAAAATAATGAAAAAGAGCGTAGACGAAGGGCAAAGAAAGAGAAAGAAATGGGGGGAAAAAGAATGAAAATTAATGATCGGCGAAGGTAATGGCGGCGAGGGCCCAAGTAATCAAACGCTTCGATCACGTCCCATTGAGAGCGAGAAAAGGAAGAAAGAGGGAAGTAAAAAGTTCTTTGCACTTCGCCGTCAAAGGCGAAAGAAAGAGGGGGAGGGAAGAGAGTATGTGTGTGTGTTTGTGTGAAAGGGACACGAAGAGAGAGAGAGAGAGAGAGAGAGAGAGGGAGAAAGACAGAGAGAGGACCAATCCAGCCGCGAAGTCGGCAAGTTAGTGAGAGGGCCGGGAGTGGGGGAGCGGTAATAGACGGCTTGGATGCTGTGCGCTGCGCTCCCCCTCCCTCTCTCTCTCGCGATCGCTCCTCCCATCGCCTCCCTCTCCTCTGCCGTGTTGTCTCACGGGAGGGAGGCGCGAGGCGCGCTCGGGGAGGGCGGCGGGGGGAGTTCAGTTAGGTCTCGCGGCCGGCGACATGGCGGCCGCGTCATCTTGTATGAGTCGCGCGCTGCTAAGTGGACTGGTTGCATCCAGTGCACCGCGTCTCACGACAAAGAGGACGATGATAGGGATGATCCGGAAATGATTTCATTCATTCCCCGCATTGTTCATTCAAAGTCTCCCTCCCTTCGCGCCGGAAGTAGCCGCCGCCCCTGCGCGAGCGCGCAGCGGGGAGGTCGGATTAGCGCTTGCTGCCACTTTGCTAAACTCGACCCGTCAGGCGCAAAAGTCACACCGGACGGCCGACATTTCAATCGGTGTGGAAGAGGAGTCCCGGACAGGCGTGAGGGGGTCGCTAATCCGATTCCCGAAAGTGGTCCCAACAAAAGGGCCACTTTTGTGTTTCGGTAACAAGGCGCGCCTTGCTGCAGCTCGCCCAGCCCCGCGTACACCCTGACACCTTTATTGCCAAAATAATAAGCAGCAGAAATAACTTTTGGGAAGTCGGCCGTCCGGCCGTCCGGTTTGGGAAGGTGTTGTGAGCCGGGTGGGAAAGCAGTGTTATGCTCGGCGTTATGGCTCCCCTGGCGCGCCCAAGGGCCTGAGGGGGCGTGTCCCGCGCGCAGCCCACCGGGCTTACGGCCTCCTCCGACACCTTGCGGCACCGGGAGGGAGGTCATGTTTGTGAACGAGCCGTGTCAAACGTGCAGGTCAAACGTGTGCTCGATCTCGGCTCGGAGAGCAGGTCACGCCGAGGTGCTTCACGCGAAAAAGCAAAGTGTACACTCTATGGAAAAATTTCAGGAAAATTCAAACAAATATAAAAATATCAAAAAAAGACAAAAAAAAACCAACAGAGTAGGGTCCAACAACAAGAAAACTTTGTTGCGTTTCTGACACGTGTTTTAATGTGCGTTTTTTTTTTTTGTCTTTTGTTGCGCAGGCCACAAAGATGACGACGGCAAGGGCGGCTCCCACAGCGCCAACTCGTCCTCGTCGGGTGCCTGCGGCTCGTCCAAGAAGCAGCGAAAGGCGAGGACCGCCTTCACTGACCACCAGCTGCAAACGCTCGAGAAAAGCTTCGAGCGGCAGAAGTACCTGAGCGTGCAGGACCGCATGGAGCTGGCGGCCAAGCTGTCGCTGACCGACACCCAGGTCAAGACCTGGTACCAGAACCGCAGGTGAGCTTTGAAAACTATGTCCTATACTCTATTTCACCCAAAGAATAGACTCAGGTAGGGCCTAACCAGGGTCTGACCTGGCCCGCCCGGAGCTGACCCTCGCCAGCTACTTCGCCAACGGGGATCGCGTACAATCGAGTGGCTGGCTCTGTGAACGACGGGGTCAAACTTAATGACGTTTGTCTTTCTTTGTGACAAGTTGGGCAGACCGTGTCATGTTTTTGTCAACAGGAACAAAAGGGCTGGAAGTGGTGGCCGTTTGTTGTGGAGGGGAGGGTGGGGGTGCATAGAGCGGTGGCAAGACAGATGAGTGGTTCTTAGAACACCTGACCGGGCGGGGGGCGGCCCGTTGGGGACGGAGCTGACCAGTCGCTGGCGCCGCCCCCACGGCCCCCACCGCCCACAAGGGCGGCAAACAAACCGATAACGCAAAGCAGGAAAGAGGGGAAGTAAAAAAGGGAAAAGCAGCAGCTACTAACCGCGCGCAGTTGATGTGCGTCGGCATGACAGATGGCTTCGCCTTTCTCCGTAGTATCCACAACGCCGTTACAAAAACAATCAAAGTGCGCGCGGCCCAGCCCACCACCAGCGGCCCAGCCCACCGGCCCAGCAAGCCGTCGTGATTCCAATCTCATTTTCGAGATGGCGCGCGATTTCGTTTCGGCGGTGGCCCAGGTGGGGGGGGGGGGCAGTTTCATTTCATTAGGATAGGGACACGCGGCTGCGGGACGGTCCCCCCCAGACCAGATCCCCCCCTGCCCCCGGCCGCGCGTTGCGGTAGCCCGCTGGTGGTTCACGTTCACGCCTGGCTTGACCGCGGCGGCGCGCGCGTCGCGTCCTGCTGCTGCAGGAGCTCACAGAGCGGTGCGCGGGTGGGGAGTACCGCGCAGCGCACCACTGCCCGGCCCCGGCCGCTCCGAAACAATGACAATCTAATTATGACCTTTTAGTTTCAGAATGAGATTACCTGTTAGTGGGCAGACGGCCGGTGCCGGTGGGGCGCGGCGGCGGCCCTGGCGGCGTCGGCGCACGCTGGAGGGTTAGGCCCGGCCGAGCGGAACGGCAAAGGGAGTAGGGCCAACGCGCATGCAACGACGCTCATACAGAGAGAGAGAGATGGGGGAACAGAAAGAGAGAGAGAAGGGGTGAGAGGCGGCCCGCGAGTGGTTACGTTACAACTTTGTGATCAACGCACACGCTCCCCCGGGCACCAGGACCTGTGTGTGTGTGTGTGTGTGTGTGTGTGTGTGTGAGAGAGAAGGGGGGGGGGAGAGGGAGAGAGAATGTTAGTGTGTGTGGGCGCGCGCGAGCGACTTCCCGCCGCACAAACGCCTCTTCTTCGCCGCAAGCAGACACTATCAACGCAAAATTGTTAATTGACGCGTCGATGGCTTCGCCGGCGGGGCGGCGGTGGCGGCGGGGAGCAGCTTTCCGCCCGCCGCATTTAATGAGAAGGAAAGGGAGAGGGGGGGGGGGGTGGAAAGTGCGTAGGGCAGTGAGAGAAGGGGGGTGGGAGAGAGGGGTGGCGGGTTATGTCTATCGCTAAGTCAACGTCATTTGAATGAGACAGGCCGCGCGGGTGTCCGTCCGATTCATTGTTGCGCCGCCGTGGAGGTGGTGCGGAAACGTGGCAGAAACGTTCGCCTAATGGAGTCTGGCCGGAACCAGCGACTCGTTGCGCTGCTGCTGGTGTGTGTATGTTTTAATAAAACGAGTCTGCTTGTGCGGCAGCAAGCGTTTGTTGGGTTGGAATATAGGGCGGGAAACGAGGAAAGAACTACTTTGTGTGATGAGATCTCATACCGAAACGGCAGGCAGGCAGGCAGGCGCTGGCCGGCCGCGGCCGCGCACAGTGTGTGTGGGACCGAGCGAGGCATCCCTTCTAAAACCAACGCAACTTTCACCTTTGTTTACATAACACGTGCGTGCTCGGGGATTTTAGACGAGTAGTCGTGTGCCTCTGCCAAATTTTCGTCTCTCTCTATCGTTCTCTATCTTTCTCTCTCTCTCTCTCTCTCTCTCTCTCTCTCTCTCTCTCTCTCTCTCGCCGCCCTCTCCCCTCCCTCCCTGTGCAACACATATGTCCGGAAAGCGTTTCGGAAGATGCAGCTGCCCGCCCACGCCCCGGCCTCGACGGCTCATGGATTTAATAAATTAAATCCCTCTCTCTCTCTCTCTCTTCCTCTGATTGCCGCTTCGGGCGGCTGGGCGCGTTCCACAAACGTGCGTCCTGGGGCTTTTCGGCGGTCAGTCCCAGCCCCGCACATCGAGGCCGCGGAGCTGGTGCGGGGCGGCCATACTGGCCCGCCCGGCGGGGTGCTCGCAAGCGCCGTGCTAATGAGTGGCGAACAGCGGGGCGGCACAACGCAACACGGAATGTGTGGAAATGAAAATGATTGGAAACGTGTTTCGGGCAAATACAATCATCGGTCCGCATCTCGAGTGTGAAAAGCGCGCCCGGCGCACCCCATTGTGGTCTAATCGCGTTGACCACAGCAGCAGCGCCGCCGCCGCCCCGCCGAGCCGCGCCGACTCATTTTTCACTCCCATTTTCGGACGGCCGACACACCGTATAGAAGTATTGTGCGGCCGTTTTTGTTGTAGCGCTAATCGAACATACACGACGCGGTCAAGGCTTTCGCCGTTTGATTTTTACGAGGTACGCAGTAGTTTTGAGCAAACCGATGTGGAATCGCGGGTAAATGAAATAGCACGGCTAGTGATGATGGAATATTATTGGTTGTGGGGATTATCCCCCGAGGAAATGGATAGAAGGAAAGGGAATAAAAAACAGGCAATGCCATCCTTAATCAGCTTCACGCCTGCCCGCCCCGCGCGGCCAGCCAGCCCGGCTGCCCTTCCGCCGATAGGCGTGAAACACGCGGAAGGACACGGGCTGCCGTTTTACGGAACGAATCTGCAACCGCGCTGCACACGGCGACCCAGAATATCCGCTCCGCGCGTGCGCGCCCACGGCCTGGCTTCCGACGCACCTTTACAGCCACACGGGTTCAAAACATACCCGGCTGCGTTTTCCACTCAAAATTTTTTACTTTTTATTTTGAATCTTTTTATTATTCGGCGGCCCTTTCTGTTCGTTCTTGTGTCGGGGTGTGGCGATAGTGTGTGGTGCGTTTTGATGGGAAGCGTCGTCCTCGGATGGGCAGCGGAGCCAGAAGGGCCCTCGCCTCTGATTGATTACAGGTGGCACGCCTATTTAACGCGCTCCCACTCCCACCCCCGACTACTCGATAAGGCTCCAAACACCGTCACAAATAGGAAAGAATTTTTATTTAAAAAAATGTATTTTTTTTTGTGTCCTGCGGTTGTCAAAATTCAAATGGTTGCTGATATCGAGCTGTCGGCTGTGGGGTCTGTTGGCCGTGATGTGTTGTAAATCGCAGTGTGGTCTCCGCTGGACGGACACCCCGCCGACGTTTCGTTCTGCCGCCTTGTCCATCACCTGCTCTGCTGCCCGCCCTAATGATGGCCGCGTATGGAACAAAGGGCCGACCTCGCGGGGGGCAGACACCGGCGTAAGGGGTGCCACTTGGCGGGCAGGGTTCCTAATTTTTTAAAAAATATTTTATATTTTCTTGAAAAAAAAAAAAACGTTTTCAAATTTCCTGGAAATTTAAATTTTTCCCATTTTTTCTACAGACGATTCTAATTTTCCGGAAAACAAACCGGCCCGAAACGCTTGTGGGGTAGCAGGGCACCACACATCTAGAGAAACTTATTTATTGTCATCGATAACTATTGTCAGAGTAGGGGCACGTAGTGAGTGATACGAACACAGAGTCCCCTGCTTCTTTTAAGTTGGCCTTTATCGGATCGGCGGCGCCAACAAGGGGCGGGGCCCGCCCGCCACGGGGGTGCCATGGTTGTGGTGTAGGCGTGCTCGGCGAGACCGCGGGGGCGCTGCTCGTTCTTATGGGATGTTAATCCTTAAGTGGTACGAAACGTGTTGTTATAGCACGACCCGCTGCCCGCCGTTGCAGCGTTTGTACTCGGAAAATGTATTCAACAGTCCTTGGCGGCGTGGCGCCTCCGCGCGGCGATAAAAGAAAAAGAAGCAATCTGAGAAACTTTCTTGAGCGGGGAGCTCTTGCGGGCTGTAATAGTTTGCCTGCGTGATAGATGTCGTGTGTGTGTGTGTGTGTTTTGTGTTGTGTTTATAAGTGCGGGTGTTGGCGAGGTTAGCAAGCTTGTTGCAGACTGTGGGAAAGGCCCATATCATATATATACTCAATGCATGCAGCAGGCAGCACGGCGACATTGAGAAATTAATTATCTCCATTAATACTTGGACGTTTACCTGGTGCCGCCGCGCCCCGCCACTCGTCGTGCGGCTCCCATCGTCGTGATATGATATTCCCACTGTGAGTGGATGGATGGATTGTGTGCTCGAAGGTGTCCCTGCCCCAGAATCTTTATTGTTCCGGAAGAGCTCGAGTGTGTGTCAGAGAGAGAGAGAGAGAGAGAGAGAGAGAGAGAGCGTGATAAGCATCTGGCCTGATCCCATATGTTGTTGATCCGGTGGTGGCAAGGGTAGGGGGTTGAGTGCATGCGAGGTTATATTACTCTATACAAGGGCGATGAATTAGTATTACATAACGTCCGTCACGAACTACATTTTATCCATCATTATTTCTAATTTTTTTCTGCTGCTAAAATGATTGGCCCTCGAGGAATAAGTTCATGGCTGTCCAGCACGATGGGGAGAAGGGCTTGTTCGAGCAAGAGAGTGGGTCAAGGAGAGAGGGGGGGGGGAGTTGCTGATTCGATGAGTAATATGCCGCCCTCTTCGCACGCACATCTTCCCACCTCTCCTTCTCGCCTCTCGATAATTTTTCTCCATCAGGTTGGCGCGCCTGCTGTTGCCGCTCATTCACGGGAGGTTTTTGTCGTAACCGACTTCGCTCGCGACCGCAGCCGCCCTACAATGCGCTCGCTCGCTTGCTGCCGCTATTATTATTACTACTTTTATATGACCTTAT